AGGTTAAGGCAATCCTCAATTATAAAGGCCGTGCAAACCTTCAAGGACAAGGGCATGCAACCCATGTTTTGCTGAGATACGATCTAACTTACTCCACTTTCTCAGTCGCAGATACTGTCCCTGTGCCGACACACGAATGGCAGCTTACTGCGCTTATCTTTCCTAGCTACAAAAGTCTAAGGGATATTGGTGTCGAGGGTTCCGACGTCGGCGAAGAGATCAGTGAAAACGTTGGTAAAGACGCACAATTAGAGGGCCGTGTAGAGGCCTAGGAGTTGAATAAAGAAATTGAATTGGCGTTTGAGCATATCGATCCAGAACATTGCACCGATCTCCTTTCCACTTCCGGCCGAGTAGATTTATCTGCTTCAGAGGACAATATCCTTACCGGCTTAGAAAATCTTCCTGGGGCCGAATCCGAAGCCGAAGAGATGAGCGAAGAATCACTTGCCCAATTTGCCAAGCAACAAAATGTAAAGCAAATTGCGGCCAGGAAGTAAGTCAGCGGGTTTGGGGGGAACCAAATAACGCCGACTCGTGAGGTTCGTCAAGAAGAAATGGCCCATGAAACAATTGTGGCCGAGTTGGTTCTTGAACAGAACTAGGTAGAAGTCCTGGGAACTGATTTGATAGGGCAAAAGTGACTTGCTAAGATGTTAACCAAATTATTAGAGGGGTCGATCGAGAAACGACCAATGGTGGATACGACGCCGGTTGAAGATGATTTAGGCAAGGCATTCGTCATCCAATCGCGGTTAAAGAATGTGCCAGTGCTTACCAGTGAGTTGGCCATCAGAGATCCCACCATGGCCCTGAGTGTGGCTTCGGCGCTCTCGCTACTGGCAGACTGAGTAACTTTCTGTGCCGAACCGGATGCCATCTAGATTGCCTTGGTGGCATAGTTGGCCATTTTGGTAAGTTATTAAAACACCCCAAATTTCTCTATAGCTTACATATTTATTCCAACTCAAATTAATGTCTTTACTTTATTGCTTTTCCAGGTGGCAGGAAGGATCACAGAAATCGACCGTCGTCACTATGACGTCATAGAGTGATTCAGCGTCCTTGAATGCCAGTTAGAAGAAGAGAAGGGCAAGGTCATTGCGGCAATCGCCGATTTGACTACGGCGATAGCAAAGGCTGAAGAAGAGCATGCAAGGGCAGTTGCTGCTCAAGAGAAAGCTCAACACGCTGATCTGCTTCGCAAGGCCGCAGAAGAGAAAGCTAACTTGATAGGCGGCTCTCTAAATTCAGATCAAGAAGAAATCTCATAACTAAAGGCCGATCTTGAAGCGGAGAAGAAGGCGAGGGAGCTCGCTAAGGTAGACGCGGCCAAAGCCTTTATCTCAACCAGCTGAAGGCCAAGGAGTTGTACGCTGATGAAGCCTTGAAGTTTGAGAATTGAGGCTTCACGCACGGATGGCTCAAAGCTCTGGCAGCTGCCAAGGTGACTCTTGATTAGCGGATTCCCTATGAGCAATTGGAAGTCGAACCGCTGGAATCGGATCCAGAGGATTTGGACTTTTGATCGGCATTTTTTGTAATAGATTTTGTTGTTTGTTTTTTTGTAAGCTTTTAGTAGTTTTTGTTAGCACTTTATTTTGGACTTAGGCCATTTTCATATATAAAGTGGATGTACTTATGCAGTTTAGTAATGAAAATTTCCATTTTGCAATGAATGTTAATGATTAAGTATTGAAAAACTAAAATATGCCATATCAATTAAGAACATGACTGCTAAATCTTACTTTGCCCCAGTTGATGACTGATCATAGTTGCCGAATACATGGACGAAGCATGTTCATGGGATCAGGTGGGGCATTGTCCTAATTCAACAAAGTGTTTGAAGATAAGCTGAATAGATTAATAAATCTGCCCTTGCCCTAGCTGATCACTGTGCATAACCGCTAAATAAATGGACGAAGCATGTTCACAGGATCTGGTGGGGCGTGTTTGTTATAATTTGGCAGTATTTGAAGATAAGTCGAATAGATTAATAAATCTGCCTTTGCCCCAGCTGATCAATGTGCATAACCGCCAAATAAATGGACAAAGCATGTTCATGGGATCCAGTGGGGCATTTCTTATAATTCGGTAGTATTTGAAGATAAGACGAATAGATTAATAAATCTGCCCTTACCCCAGCTGATCACTATGCATAACCGCCGAATACATGGACAAAACAAGTTTTGGGATCAGGTGGGGCAATTTTCATAATTCGGCAAAATGTTTGAAGATAAGCTGAATGGATTAATAAATCTGCCCGTACCCCAATTGATCGTAACAGTCGAATACAGGGGATGACGGCGACGACCGCAGGCATATTGTAATTGTTGCAACCGTAATTAATAAGTGGGGTGGCTAGGCATGTGTGGGGCCTGTGGCCTCTTTAAATGGAAGCTCTCAGACTTAACTGAACATAAGAAAGAAAAGAGCATTTCGTCAATTGGAGTAAAGTTCGTATGTCCAGCAGGGTATTCTTCAACAGTAGTGGGGAAGGAAAGACGTTAACAAAACTGGACGCAGGAATGAACCGCAGAATTGGCGGCGAATCTTCCTAAATGGGTAAAATGGCATCGGAGGAACGAGAGAGGCGTCAATCCCCCTGTCATCGAAGCAGGTCCCCAAGAGGGGGCGAGCTAAAAAGATCGCCGAGGAGGGGGGTGCAGCAACGAGGGAGCGCAAGAATTGGGGGTGCACTTGTTGCAACGCGGAATGAACCAAGCAGGCCACCACGCCCCGTTAATTTTTTTGGTGTTTATTGGAAACAAACCAATGACTGAAGTGGACTCAATTTTTCACGATCCGAACATGGCAGTCAAGTTTACTCAGTAAGTGTTTCCACCCAAAGTGCAACAATCAATGATTAAATGGGGTGACTATGAAATCTTCGGAGAGGGCATTCATGGAGCTGTCAGGGGACTCTATAGCTCATATGAGATTGGCTTACGCCTTCGAGCCGCGAAAAGAGAAATTGAACAGAAAGACGAGCGTGTTCGGGACGTAGAGCGCCGCGCAGAGAAGGCTAAGATTAAACTGAGAATGGCCAACGCTGCCAAGACTCAATTGGTGAACACAATAAACTTGGTTATAATAGACAGAGTAAACCAGTGCTTGATTGATCATGCTATAGCCGATCGGGATATGACAAGCATGTTCACAAAAGAAGCAACAAGGACATGGGCCTATGAAGAATGCTTTTTTGACGGCCAAGAAATCAGCATTGAGAAGACTAAAGAAAAGTTGGCAAATGACGTTTGTCGATGCAGGACCATGGCTTTAAGCACAGATGGACCAAGGCCTTTCAAGCCACTGGTATCGATTATGCATTGCCGTTGTTCCAAAGCTACAAGTTTCCCTTCAAACCTTATGACGCCGAGAAGACTGATGATGATGAAGAAGGGGCCGATTCGGAGAAGGCTTAAATAACAAGCAAAAGTATACTGCTATTATTTTTATTATTTTTTTATTTTTTTAGCACCCATGTATTTGCTCGTTGAAATAAATACATTCTGCTTGTTTGTTTGATGCTTGTCATTATTGCATATGCCTCATGCCACTTTATTGTCTTTTTAGCAAACTGATGCATTTTTATGACTGTTAATCGCATGTTCAGAGACTTATTCAACCAAATGTGCCAAGCATGAACGGCGCTCCAAATTCGGAGAATTATTCGGCCAAACGTGCCGAGCACGAAAGGCGCTCTAAATTTAGAGTCTTTTTGATGGTCAAACATGATCATACACGAATGATGCTCCGAATTCAGAGGATTATTTAGCCAAATGTGCTAAGCACGAAGGGCGCTCTGAATCTGGAGTCTTTTTGATGGCCAAATGTGAGCATGAACGAAAGGCACTCTGAATTCGGAGGCTTACATGCCAAGCACGAAGGGCGCTCCGAATCCAGAGTCTTTATGCTGGCCAAATGTGATCATGTTTGAAAGGCGCTCTGAATTTGGAGGCTTATTCAGCCAAATGTGCCAAGCACGAAGGGCGCTTCAAATCCGTAGTCTTTTTGATGGCCAAACGTGATCATACACAAAAGGCGCTCCGAATTCGAAGGATTATTTGGCCAAACGTGCCAAGAACAAAGGACGCTCTGAATCTGGAGTCTTTTTGATGGCCAAACTTGATCATGCACGAAAGGTGCTCCAAATTCGGAGGCTTATTTGGCCAAATGTGCCAAGCACGAAGAGCGCTCCGAATCCGGAGTCGTTTTGATGGCCAAATGTGATCATATACGAAAGGTGCTCCAAATTCGGAGACTTATTCGGCCAAATGTCCCAAGTACGAAGGGCGCTCCAAATCTGGAGTCTTTTTGATGGCCAAACGTGATCATGCACGAAAGGCGCTCCGAATTAGGAGGCTTATTTGGCCAAACGTGCCAAGCATAAAGGGCGCTCCAAATCCAGAGTATTTTTGATTGCCAAACGTGATCATATACGAAAGGCGCTCTGAATCCAAAGTCTTTTTGATGGCCAAATGTGATCATGCATAAAAGGTGCTATGAATTCGGAGGCTTATTCGGCCAAACGTGTCGAGCACAAAGGGAACTCCGAATCCGAAGTCTTTTTGATGGCCAAACATCATCATGCAAAAAAGGCGCTCCGAATTCGGAGGCTTATTTGGTAAATTTAAATGAGACGGCAATGTGGAAGGTGTATTGTATTGCTGAGTAACTATATAGATGCATACACATTTGTACAACAGTACAAACAAAAATGAACTGGTATATCGTACAAGTTAGTTTTAATGATAAAATTCATGCAAGTGGGTTGAATTCAAGGGTCGTGGTATATTTTGGCCAGTCATGTCCGAAAGGTGATATGCTTTTGTGCCAACAACCGAATCAATCTGATAGGGGTCGCCCCAGTTGGAACCTAAGTTTCCGTCTGTCGGGTTTTTCATAGCAGGAAGAACTTTCTTGAGGACCAATTCTCCGAGAGCATAAAAGCATAGCTACACGCACTGATTATACGGCTTCGGAAGGAGTTGCTGATATCACGCCATACATGTAAGAGCCTGATCCTGGCGTTCTTCAAGCAGATTCAGATCCAAGGCCAACATCATGTCGTTGCGCCCTATATCAAAAGCCTTTGATTTGAGAGTGGAAAGACTGATTTCCAGAGGGATGATAGCTTCTATCCCAAAGCACATGGAAAACGGCGTTTCTCCAGTGGCGTACCTCGGAGTGGTGTGGTGAGTCCACAATACATTAGGCAGCTCTTCAACCCACTTGCCCTTGGCTTTCGCCAACCATTTCTTAATTCCGTCTAGCATCACTTTATTTGAGGACTCTGCTTGACCATTATTTTGTGGATACGCCAGTGAAGAAAAGTAAGGCTGGATACCATATATGCTGCATAGCTCCTTATACATGCTGCAGTTGAATTGGGTGCTGTTATTGGAGACAAGTGCTCTGGGTATGTCGAATCGGGTTATAATATTTTTCCACACAAAGCGCTTAACAACAACATCTCGAATATGTGCCAGGGATTCTGCTTCGACCCCCTTCGTGAAATAGCCTGTTGCAACTATCAAGAATCGTTTATTTCCCGGAGCTGACGGTAAAGGTCCGAGGACTAGTAATGGAATTTAATTCTTCGACAGGCAGGTGAGTTAAAGGGGAGAACTTCTGGCATTGTTCACATTTCTTTACGTAGTTTTTAGCATCAGTGCGTATTGTTGGCCAATAATATCCCTGCGTTTCAGCTTGGTGGGCCAATGAGCGTCCTTCAGAGTGGGCACCGCAGCTGCCTTCATGTATTTCAGTCAAGAGGGCTTTAACTCTGTTTGGGTGAACGCATTCCAACTATGGCCCTGAAAAAGATTTTTTGTAAAATTTTCCGTGGGGATCTAGGTAATATCATAGGGCTTTATTCCGCAGCTTATGGACTTTTTTCTTATCTGCTGGCAGTTATTCTGAGGAAAGAATTGGAATGATGGGATCCATCTAACTCGGCTCTAAGCCAATGATGTTGACCTGGACAGGTTCGAGGGAACATATACTCAGCTCTGGAATGAATCCCATAGTTCTTTTGATTTCGGCATTGATGGTAGAAGCCAGGCAGGCAAGGGCATCTGCATGAGTATTCTGATCTCAGGTTATTTAATTCAACTCATGGTGGTTGAATTTCGTGAGCAAGGAATTCGCTGTTTTCATATAGGCTGCGATTTGGTCATTCTTAGCCGCATATTCCCCTTTCAACTGGTTGATGACTAATTTTGAATCATAGAAAACCTGTAACTGCTTGGCACCTAGGTGAAGCTCGTTTCGGAGGCCGGTAAGTAATCCTTCATATTTAGCCTCATTATTTGATGCATCGAACCCCAGTTCACTGCCTACTCGATTATTGCTCCTTCGGGGGTCATGATTACTACACTTGCCCTGTTGCCACATTGGTTAGATGATCCATCACAATACACTTGCCAAATGTCTCCGACATACATTCTCTAGTCTAGTTGAAGTTGAGGTTGAGAGGAGGGCTGGTCTGTCTTGAAGTCGGCATAGCGCCCAGTGAACTCAGTCACAAAGCCAGCCAACACCTACCCTTTGATGGCCATTCTGGGTAAAAATTGGATGTCATACTGGTCAAGTTCCAAGGCCCAATTAGAGACTCGCCTTGATGCCTCCACGCTACGGAAAGCTTTTTGAAGAGGATGATCCGATAATACCTCTATGGTATGAGCCTGGAAGTAGTGCATCAGCTTTCTGGTAGCCACCACAAGAGCCAGTATGAGCTTTTCCAATGGTAGGTATCGTGTTTCAGCGTCAACCATCGCTTTGCTTACATAGTAGATTGGTCGTTGCTCTCTGAGTTCCTCCTTTAATAATATGGCGCTGATCGCCCAATCGGATACCGCTAGATATAAAACGAGCGAATCGCCTGGCGATGGGGTTGCCAGGAGTGGTATTGAACGGAAATAAGCTTTCAAGCCATCTAGTGTGGCCTGGCACTCGAGGGTCCACTGAAATGCTTTGCCCTGCCGAAGTGTGTGAAAAAATGATCGGCAGCGATCCGACAAACGGCTGATAAACCTATTGAGAACAACGGCCATTCTCATCAATTTCTAGACTTCTTTGGTAGACTGAGGTGAGTCGAGTTCAATAATGGCCATGATTTGCCTCTTCTATTCTGCGACGGTTCACAATATAGCCAAGAAACTTTCTGAATCTAATGCTGAATGCACACTTAGAGGCATTCAGTTTCATTTTGTACTTTCGGAGTATACTGAATGTCACGAATAAGTTGGCCAGATGGGCATGCTTTTCCTTGGATTTCACTACCATATCATTGATGTATACTTCCATGGTGCAGCCGAGCTATTCTTTAAAGATAGTGGTGACCAGCCTCTATTACGTTGCCCCGTATTCTTCAGTCCAAATGGCATGACCTTGTAGTAATAGGTTCCTAGTGGGGTGAGGCATGCGGTCTTTTCTTGGTCCTCCGAATGCATGGCAATTTGGTGGTAACCCCGATAAGCATCCAAGAAACTCATGCGTTGGTGATGCGCAGTTACGTCTACAAGTTAGTCAATTCGAGGAAGAGGAAAGCAATCCTTTTTAAGTCTGTGAAATCCACACAAACACACCAAGATCCGTTTTTCTTCTTGACGACCACGGTATTGGATAGCCAGGTGGGATAAGTTACTTCACAAATTGCCCTGGCTTCTAACAGCCTGTTGACTTCATCAACAACGGCCGGAGTATGGTCTGCGGTCGATCGACAACTTTTTTGAATAATTGGTTTAAACTTAGGGTCAACGTTTAAATAGTGTTGGGCTATGCTTGGATCCACCCATGGCATCTCATACGGCGCCCAGGAAAATATGTCGATGTTGGCGAGTAAGAAGGAAATCAGCTCTTGTCATTCAGCTGCGTTCAGAGAGGTGCTCATCATGAAGAATTTGTCAGGTTCTCCTTTGATGTCGATTTGATCGAGGTCTTCAGTTGCCTTATCGCTAGGGGTTTTTCCCATGTCCTTGAGGCTTTCACGATCCGGAACTTCAATTGAGTTCACTTCCAGTTCCTTTGGCTTCCTCGTCGAAGCAATAAGACAGCAGGCCTTTGCCAATTTTTGAGAATCGCGAATTTGCTCAATGCCATATTGTGTTGGAAAACGGAACAACTAATGGTAGGTACTCTGTATCACCTGCGTCGCGTGCAACCAGGTCCTTCCCATGATGAGATTGTATGGTGACAAAAGTTTGATAACCAGAAACTCTATGTCTACTGATTTGGTACCTGCATGCATTGGCAGCACGATCTTGCCCAGAGGGAACTCGGGATTAGTGTTGAAACCAAACAGGGGATACTTGGTCAGCAGCAAATCCGAGTCGTTGAAGCCAAGTTTTATGAATGTCTTGTGATACATTATCTCCGAAGTGCTCCCCTGATCGATTAGAACGCATTCCATGACAAATTTGTTTACGCGTAACACGATAACGAGGGTATCTTCGTGGGGGAGCATTCCCCTTCAAGATTGGTGTCCTCAAAGCTGATTTTGCTTGTCTCATGAGGCCATTTGGCTAGTGTGTACGGCTTGGGCAAAGCTGGGTTGTAGTTGGATTGTATGTACTTGAGTCAACGACAGTAGGTTGTATATCATGTGAATCACACCAAATGGAGGGGAATATGGGTGCCACCGTGCTTGGTGGATTGCCCTTTTGGGCATATTGTGCCAGTCGGCTGTCTTGCACCAACTCCTCCAAATAGTCCTTCAGTGCATAACAACTATCAGTCTCATGGCCATGATCCTTGTGATATTCACACCGCCTATCTCTCTGTCTAGTATCAGGGGGTCCAATCATCTTGGATGGCCATTTAAAGAATGGTAGATGTTGGACTTTAGGTAGGTTCTTGCTGATTGGTTCTGCCAATTCCGTGTACTTCTTGTCCGAACATCTTGGGCGCCTGCTATCCACTTGATACTGTTCATTCAAACGGTGCGAACACTGTTCGCTTGACTGACGCAAATCCCGTCGTTGTCTCATTTTGATCGACGTCGCCGTTCAGGGCTCCCTGGTGGTACGGCGCTTATTGGCTGAACCAGACTAGATGGGGCCAACTTCAGGGCTTTTTGTTTAGACTTGACGCGAAGGGCGTCATCTTCCACCTTGTAACATTCCTTAACTTTCTTTATTAGTGCCCAGACTATTTTGGGAGGCCATCTAGTCAACGAGCTTTGGAGAGCACTATCGGGATGTAACCCCATTTTGAAGGCGGTAATGGCTATCGAATCGTTGCAAGCATCGTCCACCAAGTTGAGCACTCCCAGTAGCAGGCCGAATACTTACAGAGGGTCTCTTCTAGTTTAATTTGCATTGCCTAGAGAGAGTCAGCTTGCTTTGGCTGAACCTTGTTGGTGATGAATCTTGCCCTGAAGGACTTTTGGAGCTGATGAAAAATTTTTATTGACGCTGGCACCAGTTTATAATACCATCTGACGGCCAATGGTCCCAAGCTGCTTGGAAATATTTGAAATATGGGGGCTTCATCATTAGCATGAAATGTCATCACTTGCTTGTAATGACGAATGTGATCCGTAGGGTCTGACTTACCGTCGTACAAGGTGAACGTTGGTGCTGTAAACTTTTTAGGCAATACAACTTTTGCAATGTGTCGTATAAAAGGATCATGTTTGTCTTCATTTGAACCATCATCTCCCTTCCCCTACCTATGCCGTACATATAGACTTCCTTCGGATGAGCTAGATATGTCAGCTTGTCCCTTCTTCCTGGGTTCCTGGGATGACGAGTCAGAAGTGCTGCCACTACCAGATTTTTGATGCCGATGCTGACGCCGTCGATCACCATTTTTCTGTAGCGACCAACCTCGGTCATGGCGTGGTGCGGTTGGTTGATATTTTCCTAACTCAAGGTCCAACTCCTTACACAAATGTTTGTTCTCAGCCGCCATGTCTTCCAGACGTTGTTCGTTTCATTTTGCTTGATCCATGATCGTCTGTATGGGTTTCTGCATCGAGGTTGAAGGCGAAGTTTGAGTCACTAAGTCGAAGTTTGCGGTGATATTCTCCGGACCAAGCATAGTTCTTAGAGTAACATCATCTCCTGGTGTAACATCATTAGCAACGAGTGAAGGATCACTTGTTATGTCTGCTATGAACGCGTTTGAGTATTCCCACAAACGACGCCAATTGTGGAGATGTGGTTTGGAAATACCCTTTGGCCCAAGCAAACTCTCTCGATCTTCGAGTTTCCACCTGAAATGGGAATAAACAGTCAGGTCGGGGGTGCCGGAATTAGTACTCCAATAGGAAAATTAGTATTCACTCAAGTCTTTCTTATGTCTCAAGTTATCTTTTTCTTACATATCTCTTTTCTGGCTAATGCTCCTCCTCTTTTATATTACTTTTCTGGGGCCCATTTTTTGATTATGGACACCCATCCCTAATAGCTGGATTCCTAATCATTTGGTAGAATTTATGGCCTATTCGGCCCTCAATCTAGGTCTATTCGGCCACGGCCGGCCACTTCACTCATCTTCTCGGCAATCTTATTCCAAGGGTAAAGCCATTATGAGCCAACTTACACGCGACTCCTATTTGTGTACGGCATATTAAACTCGGCTCCTACAGTGTCTATTCGAGCCCTTTGGCGAGACCACTTCGAAGACGTCAATTGCCTAGATAGAGAAAGGCCATGGTGAAGTCATATTGTAGAGCTTTGACAGTGGGATATTCACGCGATTAGCATAGATTTGACATTTATGGCATCACCGAACAAAGTTGATACAATCATCCTCCATGGTTAACCAATAGTAACCTTGCCAGAGGATCTTCCTGGCCAGCATCAACCATTCATGTGTGCTCCACACTCTCCTCCATGAATGGCCTCCATGAGACGTTTTGACTCTTCCTCTTTGACGCAGAGCTTGTGCATTCCTAGATACCCTCTTTTGTACAACTTACTTCTTCATATGATGCATTGGACGGCTAGACACCGGATTCCTCGTTTATCCTTGGCATTTGCCCCTTGTGGGTACTTGTCCTTCTCTAGGACGTTCCAAATGTCATGATACCAAGGATTCCTTTCCTGAACCTCATCTATTGTGGCTATTGTCTCATAAGTAGGAACATATTTTTGTTTGATGATAATAGAACGCATCTTAACCCCGATCGGTATGTCTACCATACAGGATAGAGCTGCCAATGCATCAGCAAACCGATTGTTCTCTCTTAACATGTGCGTAAATGCCAGTTTTTCGAACCTTGGAATCAGAATGTCCTGGGTTTGGTGATAAACTTTTATTTTTTCTTCTTTGACCTTCCAATCTCCATTGGCTTAAGAAACAACCAAGTTCGAGTCTCCGATGACGTCTAACCTTATTGCCTCTAGTTCTAGGGTAGCTTCTAATCTAGCAATACATGCCTTATTCTCTTCTTCGTTGTTGGATACTTTTGAACCGGAGTTTGAAAGCTAGGGGTATATGGAAATCATCTTGCGCTATAAGTAACGCGCCTGTCTCGTAAGCATATTGATTAGCCGCTGCATCAAAGCACATTTTCCCCGTCCCCTCTTCTACTTGGAGGGTCTCCTCATCTTGGGATAGGTACTCTACTTCTTCATCTCCTTCCACAGGGTGGCCCGTCAGAAATTCCACTATAGCTCTTCCTTTGACCAACTTGCGAGTGACATACTTGAGGTTGAATTCGAAGAGAATAAGCAACTAACAAGCTAGCCCACCCATAAGTGCCGATTTCTCAAAGAGATATTTAAGGGGATCCAATCTCGTAACCAGAATTACGGAATGGGCTAAT